TAAACTATCCAGTGAGCCCTTGTGCTCTACGGAAGGTAGGTACTGTCATCCTGGAAGAGATCACTGTCGTCAAGACAGTGATTAACAGATTAAGATGATATCTTAGAAGAAATCAATATTGATTTTCAATGTCTCACAAACCATGCCAGCAGCACAACTGTACCACGTAATATCCTCAGTGTAGGGGGTCAAGTATTCAGGTTTTTCCTTTAATCTGTCACCTATCCATGTGTGTGTGTGTGTGTGTGTGTGTGTTCATATGAATATCAAAGTGTAGAATCACAAGTCCCTAAAACACATCTGACAAGCACTGTAAACACAGACACCAGACATGTGGTGCCCGCACATACTTTATGTGCAAGAAAGCATGTACGCGTGTGAATGCGTGAGTGTCTATACCATGTTTTGATTGTTGCGCACGCACACACAATGACACACACTTCGCCCTCGTGCCAGTGAAGGCAGATGGTGAGAAGCGGAGCCAGCCCTCTCACATATCCCAACACAATAGCAGTCTTTCCCGGGCGGTAAGACTTAAAGCGGAGCTTTGGCGCTGCATCACAACATGAAGACACTCGCTACTTGAATCCTTTACAATGACGTAATACGCAATAACATCAAGTCACATGGGAATGACTATGTTAAAGTCATGCCTGGGATAACACATCGTTGTTGTGTGTTTCGTTTTGGCTTCCTTTGCGGGACAACAAATAAAACAAATAAAGGATCTCAATGTGAACTTTTTAAACAACTCCACATTAAGTTTCCTGGTAATGGCAAAGATGTGTGGCTGGTGATGCTATACAAATACACACAAAAAAAGTTAAAAAACTAGAGCACAATTAGGCTCCAAAAATACAAGATATTGGCTTACAAGCTAAATTATAAGCCAAGTACACAAATTACAAGAAAGATTCATTTAGGCATCACTTGTGTTGGCCAAATCAGTTGTGTGTCTCCAAGTATTTGGCTGTTGACAGTGAGCCAAATGTAACCAGAAAAATCTTTCAAAATAGAAAACTGAATCATCACACTTGAAACACAAAAGGAGACGTTGAAATAAGGGGCCTCTAGAGAGCCCCCCCGCATCCTAAGAAATTAAAACAGGCCTATTCAACTAATTTCAAGGTTCAGGATCTGAAACGATGACGTGATTTTACCATCAGGGCCTGCTTTGCATAAACACAAGCCTGAAGATATCCAAAGAGGATTCAGGGATCGTTAACGAGTTCATGTCAAAACATTTTGCATCAATTAAAAATACAAGTCTTTATAAAAGCCATGCCTTAAACAAATTTAAGACATTCATGGTTGCATTATTAATGCCGGGCACTCAAGACGTTCCACAGTAAACAGACTTTAGACCTGGGCATAAAGTCAAGTCCAGTGAGTGCTTTAATTGCAGGTCTCCACACCTCAGTATCAAACAAGAAAACTACCAAATGAAGCCCATCTCTGATCTGACTGGCACTGTCTGCAGATACAGAATCAAACCGCAACACATAAATATAATGCTCTGCATGCTTCTCTCAGTCTAAACGCAGATTATGTCATCTCGAACAGGAAGAGGAGATAAGCCTTTTTTCCTCCTTCTTATTTCACATAGATAAATAATTCAGTTATCGCTGCAGATGGTAGGCCCGAGGTTGTCGTTAATGTGTGCATTTAAGGACACTGTGCTAAACTCTCTCTTGACAACCTTAAACTATATTAGCAAACGTAACCTGTCAGTGAAAGGGAGGCTGGTCTGTTCCGTGGGGCGTGCGGGTGCAGCCAGCTGCTGCTGCTGCTCGAAGGCGGGCTTCACCTCGTCCCTCCTCACCAAGATTCCCACGACCTCCCTGCCCCCGCGCATGGCTGAGGATATTGTCAGACTCCAAAAAGGCTCATTTGCAGCTATAAATCTGGACAAATAATAACGCTTTCTATGGAGTGCAGTGCATGCAGACAGCAAGACAGCTCCTCTCCATCTCACACCCTCTCTTCTCTAAACGTTCGATGCAACAGAGAGGCTTGACACCAAGCATCCTCGTACATCCCCCCCGATGCTAAGGCCAAGCTACAGTGTCTAGTTTTATCAGCTGCAGTTTGGCCCGCAGTATAGACCCAGATTGGTTGCATTTAAAACCACTTAAGTAAAAATAAACCTACCAGCGCCAGACGGTCCCGGCTCCATCCCATTCACTTAGCCGCGCGGGTACAAGCTAGCTAGTCCGGGGGGTGCTGTGGCCAAACCGCCGGCCCCCTTCAGGCTGGAAGCGTCTCAGACTTCCAGCCCCCTCCTCTCGGCGTGCAGTCTTCTCCTTTCTCGGTGTACCCCCGCCCCCTGCCCCTACCAGACACCCCCCCAGACCCGCAGAGGAGTTAAGGCTAACGCCGATAGCTGCCAGTTGCTCGTCTGCCCGTTGACCCTATAGCCAATAACGGCGCAGCTGCAGGGCGATGCCGTCCTATTTCAAACCACTCTTCCTCGGCGGCGCAGCGGGATCCTTCCCGGTGCTCTGATTTAGCCGATGGTCCGCAGCGCTGTAATTTCTTGCCGTTCTGTTGTGCTCCTGCTCACCGTTCAAGCAGGACTCTCCAGCGGAACAAAAAAGGCCAGCCCCTCGCCCCCCTCAAAAAATCTGAAACTTCTTCTTTGCCATTGGAAAGTGTGAAGGAAGTGTTGACGAACTTGCTGTCACACCCCAGAGGTCGAAGGTGGAACTACACTGCAGATATGCAAATACAGCCAAATTATGTCTCACGTGTCAGAGACTGTGTGCTCAACGCTGAGGTTTAAAACTAATGATCACTCGTCTTAAAAAATACAGCCAACATATTCTGAGTACATTTTAAAGGTGCTACATCAGGGGTTTGATCAGTTTAATCTCAAAGGGGGAAGATCAGTAAAATTATCTATAATAACAACCTAGAGCATAATAACCTATATATCTGCTGGTGTAAAGAAGTTAAAGAACATTGTGAAACACATTTATTCTAACATTCTTTTATGAAACAGATGATTGAAAGTCAAAGAGTTCTCAACTTCAAGACCTTTCCATCACATGCATCAACCAAAGCAGAAAGTGGACCATTTGGCTTCGTCATGTTCACATTAACAGCTATTGCAGTTGTGCCATTAGCAATCTTGAAATATAACATTTAACCTTAATTGATAAACTTGTCAACCTACATGCTTGATATGTGAACACCAAGTCTTTCACTTGTCTTTTTTCATCCTCTTTTAGAAATTGTCGCAGATCAGTATTGCCAACTATACATTTGTCTTGGTTTATGTTTATTTTAGTAAAGGAAAGGGCTTAATGATTAATTTATTGATCTGTAATTACAAATTTTATTGCTGTTACATATTTGCTTTTTGAGGCATTAATAACCATATTTTAATCTAAGTCTTTAATCCAATATTTATATCTAAGTCTTTAATGCTTTCATGGCTTGCCTTTGTAAAAAAAAGAAAAAAGAAAAAAAAAGAAGAAGAAGTAAAAGCACGAGAAAGAATACTTTATTTTTTAATAAATTACCATGGAGTTTTTATTCTTTCAGTCCTACATTGATTATTTTG